CAAATACTTACCATTCACAACTTTCTTTTGCCTTTTAGTTTAGCCAGAAAGATGCTTAAATGATTATATAACTCAGAAAGGGAAGAAAATGATTTACTATCTTTCACACCACAGAAAAACCCCTTATCTTAGAAGCAAAGCAAAAATGAAAATTTCCACTTTCGTTTCATAATGGTGATAGAACACCCACTTCTTTGGATAAAATAGAAATATTGAGCTAGTTTATGGCTATGAAGATGAATTGTTAAAAATGGCAGGACTACTGAAAATTTCATTAATTGTATAAAATTTGTGGAAAAAAAAAGCACCACTAAATTTAATTAAACATATTTAAATCTTATGTGCATTTTAAAAATTACCTTGGTCAGAAAGTGAGTAAATATACATAAGTAATCAATTTGTTATATATAGGTAAGTTCCTACATAAGGTTTATAACTGTTGAATTATATGCACTCACGAATATTTTGTATAAGTATGTGTTGATAAGATGATAATAAATTGCCCACATAAGATGATGATAAAAATGTTGGTAATACATAAAATTGATCTCTCCTCATCAAATGATAATATCAATCACCCTGAAGTCTTATATGTGCTAAAAAACCTTAAAAGAACATCATTTCTATAGCAGGCTAAACACAAATTAAAGTTGAGTCACATAACATAACAAATTTTAATATGTTTCCAATAATTTTAACCAGACAAATTATAGTTTGTTTCCACTCATTTTAACCAGACAGCTGCTCAAAACCAACCCCTCTTCAAAACCCATGTTATGATGAACACATCATTTTTACAAACGTGCAAAACACGACCAACCACATATCCAAAACTTGGAAAAAGAAAAAAAAAACAAAAAAAATTAAAAACCTTGAAATAGCATGACTAATTAGTAATTACTTCTTAAACATACAAACTTAGCCCTATTTGACAATTTCTTATGTTTCACTTCACACATGCTCTAATCATAAAAATAACCCACCACTTTTTCATTTATAAAATATAGTTTTGGATCAAAACTCCTCCCACCCCAAACAAACCAAACTTACACTCACATATTCAACATCAACAAACCCAAAACTTAACAACAAAAACAACAATTTCATCTATTTCTTGAAGGGACCTTCAAAAAATCAACCAAAAAATAAAAAATAAAAAAAAAAATGAAGCCACCACCATATTCTTCTCCTTCCTCATACTCCTCCCTCATCCGAAAGGGCCGCCTCTCGCCATATTTCTTCACCTTACTAGCTTTCATCCTCTTCGTCACCATTTTATACGGTGAGGATCTTAGCTGCATTCTCGGCAGTCAGTTCGACTCTCGTTTTCCTTTGAGCTCACATCAAACCATGTCATCCACAACTAGTAAGTTACCAAACATGCATATATAAATGCCTACTATTT